CCTTCCCTCCTCATTTTCTCCACTCTCTTCATCCATTCTTCTCCCTCTCCCTCCTCTCCCAAAACCCACTCTATTGCCTCCCCCCAACTTATCTCTTCCATTCCTTCCTCCCTCCCGCATCTCTCCCACATATGTTCCCATGTCTCTTCCTCTCCCTCACAAATTCTACACATTCTTTTCTCCTCCTCTTCCCAGTACTGTCCTTCTTTCATTTCGTTTCCTAATCTAAATCTAATTATCCTTCTCCATCTTTCCTCTGCCCATCCCTTCTCCAAATACTTTGGAATTCCTTCCTTCATTAGCCTAACATACCATTTATTGTATCTCGACTCCTTTATCCTTTCCCCTCTCTCCTCTTTCTGTCTCTCCCTCTCTCTCTCCTCCATCTCCTCTAATTCCGTCTCTTCCTCTCCACCCACTCCAATTCCATTCTCCCTTCGGAATTCCTCCCTCTCTCTTTTTCAACCTTCCTTAATACTTCCCTTCCCCCATCTTCCATTCATCTCTTCCCAGCATCTCCTCGATATTTCCCCTCCTTTCCCCTCCCCTAGTTTCTTCTCAAATTTCCATGCCCTTTTTCCCGCTCTTGTCCTCATTTTTTCCCTCCCCAATTCCTGCCTCACCATGTACCCCGGCGTTCTCCAATCCAATCCCATCGTCCATCTTAGATATCTCTCATGCATTTTCTCTATCTCTTCTCTCTCTTTCCATCCCCATACTTCCACTCCATATCCCATCACTGTCCATACCAATGTATCATACAGCCATATCCTTCTTTTCCACTTTTTTCCAAACATTCTTTTCCCTATTCCCCATATTTCCCTCATTGCTACTGCTGCTTTCCTTCTTCTATCCCTTATCTGTCCTTCCTGTCCTCCATTCCCTTGCACCATGTATCCCAAATATTTAAACTTCCTCACCTCCTCTAGCTTCTTTCCTTTCCAATACCATCCTATCTTCTTCCTCCTACCCCCTCCCCTCCTAAATCTCATTACTTTTGTCTTCTCCGCGTTCAGCTCCAGTCTCTTATTCTCCAAATACCTTTCTAACCTTCCTAATACACTTTTCATCTCTTGTTCCTCCTCCGCTAACAGCACCACATCGTCCGCATACGCCAATGTATACACCCTCCCCTCTCCTAACCTCACTCCCCCCCATCCTCCTCTTGCCATCTCCTTCTCCATGTCCGCCATAAGGATATTAAACAAAATTGGACTCAATGGACATCCCTGCCTTACCCCCCTCCCCGTCCAGAATTCCTCCCCTATTTTCCCTCCCACTTTCACCCTACTCTTCGTCTCACTCACCATCTCCTCCACCCTTCTCACCAATCCTTCCCTCACTCCCCTATCCCTCATCGTATCTAACAATACCCCCCTGTCCACTGAGTCAAATGCCGCCTTCAGGTCTATGAACACTGCTGTCATCTTCCCTCCTTTCCTCCCTATCTGCCTGTTAATCAAATAGTTCAACGCATATACCTGATCCATCGCTCCCATTCCCTTTCTAAAACCCGCCTGACTCCCCGACAAAATCCTTTTCTCTTCCAATTCTTCCTTTAGTCTCTCCGCTAACACCATCGCATATATTTTATATAATGACGGCATCAGCGTTACTCCTCTATAGTCTTTCACTGTTTCTCCTTTCTCTTTCTTTAATATCGGTACTATAATCCCCTCTTTCCACTCCTCTGGCCAGCCTTCCCCTCTCCACACTCTTCTACACACTTCCCACACCCATTTCTCCATCTCCTCTCCTCTATACTTCCATACCTCATTCGGTATTTCATCTTTCCCCATTGCTTTTCCTTCTTTCAATTTTCTTATTATCTTTTCTACCTCCTCCCATTCTAGTTCCCTTTCTTCATCCTCCTCTTCTTTTCCTCTTTCTCTTCTTCCTCTCCCTATTTTCCTCTCTACCCCTCCTAACAACCCCATAAAATATTCCTTCCATTCTTCCATCTCTATTCCTTCATTTATTCTACCTCTTTTCCTCCTCTCTTTATTTATTAATTCCCATACTTTACCCTCTGTCCTTGCTTCCTCTACTTCTCTTTCCATCCTTTCTCTTTCCTCTCTCTTTTTTCTATCACATAGCCTTTTGTATTCATTCTTCTTCTCTCTATATTCCTCTCTTTTCCCTCCTTTTTTCTTCCATTCCCTCAACTTCTTTCTCACCTTCCTCTTCTCTTCCCAACATTCTCTATCCCACCATCCTTTCCTTCCTC